TCTTTTTTTCATCAATGGACTTACTTTGTGTCATAACTATACAACAAAATCCCTCTATAATCCAATAAATCCATAAAACTAAGTAATTTTGAAATATGTTTAGAAGTGTTTTTCAATAATTATTTAGTTTAATGGATATATTGTCTTCTTTAGAGATTCTTTTCTTTAGTCATAGCACATGGTAAATCCATCTGATGAATATATAATATACACTTGTTCAGACTTTTATTTTATGTCCATTCTAAGAGAGGTAATATCCTTTTAAATAGTAAATGATCTTTTCTAATGGTATATTATAGATCTGTACACTCTAAAAGGATTTAAAATAGATGTTATACAAGATAATGATGCTTCAGTTGAATGTTATAAACAACCTAATGATATTCAACCACCTAGTATAAACTTCACAGTAAACTGTAATAAAACAATTTGGGGTAGTAAAATCAATATCTCAAGAACTATTGTTATCGAAAATCTTTACTATGCTTTTTGTGAAGTGGAGGTTTATGGTAAGTATAATTAACATTAGTATTTTGCAAGTTTTATACATCCACATATTGATAAGGACCTAAGTTTTTATCCACATGTTCCGATTTCCTTGTTCAAAGATTAATGTTTTCTCTATTTTTGACACCCACGCGAATCCGGACCCTCCGTCTGTCGATCTGCCTATTCACATTTATCTTTACTTACTCTATAAGTTAAAGTACTAGACATCTTTAAATTTGTGACAAGACAAACATGATGACTGTAGTACGTCGTAATGAGCGTTCATTTTTAATCAGAAATTAAGGGACTGCAGTAGAGCATGTGGTGAAGAGTGTAAGAAGTTTTGTTATTGTAAAGATAATGATATTGTGATTGTTTGTTATATTACAGTATGCTCCAATAGAACACTGTAAAGATTTTCAGAAGTTTTGTTATTGTAAATATTTGTTATATTACAATATGCTCCCATAGAACACTGTGAAGAGTGTGAGAAAGTTTTGTTATTGTAAAGATTATATTGTTAAAAATATTTGTTATATTACAGTATGCTCCATTAGAACATATGGTGAAGAGTGTGAGAAGTTTTGTTACTGTAAAGATAATATTATTGTAAATATTTGTTATATTACAGTATGCTCCAATAGAACATATGGTGAAGAGTGTGAGAAGTTTTGTTACTGTAAAGATAATATTATTGTTAATATTTGTTATATTACAGTATGCTCCAATAGAACATATGGTAAAGAGTGTGAGAAGTTTTCTTATTGTAAAGATAATGTTATTGTTAATATTTGTTATATTACAGTATGCTCCAATAGAACATATGGTAAAGAGTGTGAGAAGTTTTCTTATTGTAAAGATAATGTACCATGTGATTATATAACAGGAGTATGTTCAACTGAAGGATGTTTACCAGGGTATACTGGATCAAGCTGTAATCAAAGTATGTTTAAATTAATGACAAAGCGCTAAAATTTCTTCTTTGAAATTTGGATCGAATTGTTTGTTTTCCTTCTTTATTGGGGACATGTAACTTTCATTTGAATCATCACTTTTTTATTTCTGACGTCTTTTGAATTAAAACGACATCAATTTCATTAAATTTGTGAAATTTAATTTGCATACAATTTTCTGGAATCTAGAATAACAATCCCATATGGTAATAAGTAATGTTGTAAATAGTAGACAAATAGTTGTCTTCCTGTAACAAAATGACTAAGATGGAATATTTAACATTATCGTTGTAAGGACTTTTCAGCAATGGGAAACTGTGAATGATTGTACATAATTGTAAGAATAGGCTTTACTGGTAGAGGTGAATTAGAGTGGTACATTTAAATCCTATGCAATTATTTTGTTATTCAAGAGTAAATTGATACTACTAATTCTCATGTGTTTTATTTCGGCTTTTGTTTCAGCGTGTACTGAAGGAAAATATGGTTTGAATTGTGGTCAAGATTGTAATGACAGACATTGTTTGGGATCCCGGCAGACTTGTAATTTAGTTACTGGACAATGTGATGATGGTTGTGTTCCAGGATATAATGGTATAGACTGTAAACAAGGTAAAATAACGAGGTTTTACGCCCGAAATGAGGACAATCTAACAGATGAAATTAACACTATGAAGCATCTTTTCCAAAATGATAATAATGTAGCTGATCCAAAACAACTTGCCAACAAAAATATGTCTTACTACCATTATAGTTCTATTGAATCCTATATATATAGGAGTGGTTTATAACTTAAACGGCAATAGCATCGTCTGCTAAAGTTGGCCTTTTATAGTATAATTTCATTCTACTATTCTACCCCAAAGTAGTAGGGGTTTAATTTTAGTTTATAATGAGATGTTCTTTTCTACTTTGATCATCTGTTCACAATTTA